GGCATGATTGGCAATGGATTACATGTGGGTTTTTCTTGCATTTTGATGGTTCATATCCAAATTTGACCCCCTATTGCATATAATAATACATATATATCATTCTTGCTGTTCTGATTATAGAACTGGGTTTTGGGTTTTGTACATAATTATTGTTTTCAATGGCAATGTGGGTTTTGCTTTCTATCTAGTTGGTTGTGCATTGAGTAAAATTATAAAATTCAAAATTAATTGGTATGTGTACTAAGAGAGGATCTGGAATGAGATGTTTTGGTGTGTGGAAATAGAATTACCCAGACCTTCCATGTAAAACTTATATTTGTATAAATCAATAAAATCTTATAATGAGGGAGCTTTGACCCTCTCATAGATTAACTCCCATGGCACAAGTGATAATGGTCAATTAAATTATTTTTTTCCTTTTCAAAAACAAAAAAATAAAGAAATCAAAATGAAACAGTGAACAGAGTTGTAAATTTACATATTTGACCAATCAAACGTACAGTATATATCCCAATCATCTCACAACACTACACTCAACATACATATGTGGGAACACCATAACACAGACTCATACACAATCAAATAGAGATTAGAATTCAAACACAGTTTCTAAAACACCAAGCAAACAGAAACCTGTAACATGTTCTGATAGAACCAAATATAAACTAGATACTTCCATGACTCTGACCACCACTTGAAACCCAATCCAGGCCCTTACTTTGAAAGTTCACAGCAAAGTGTCTCCTGCCATAGCACACCAAAAATGTTAAAGCTTTGCCTATGATGGGGGAAAAACAAAAAAGAAATGAGAACCAATATAATTTACAGAGGACTTACAAGTTTCATCTCAACTGTAGCCTGAAAATGTGCAGTGTTCTCCTTGAGCCTTGCAATTTCTTGTTCCATGCGTAAAACTTCAGTGCTGAACTACTGTAGAATCCACAAAAATAAAATGCAAAGTGAGAACGATTATAGAGCAGGTGATAGAGATTCAGCAAGGTAAGACCCTTTATTAATTAAAATTAAGGTTCTAAAAGTTTAGACACTTTTACTGATTAAAACAACAGAATCAAGATCCTTACCATTTCCTCCTTTCCCATCCTGAGACGACCAGAAGAAAACAAGAAAACTAATCAGAAAACAAAAATAAGAACAATTTTCTTCTACTTAACAAAGTCACAATTTTCGTCTCCAATAATATCTAAAACCATATGAATGCTGGTAAAATGAAAATAGCCTCAAGGGTTCTTTTGTGAAGGCAAACACTCTTGCCACCATTGCCCCTTGTAATGCTCCAAACCCTTTTATGTCTCAGCAAGCCAGTGGCCACAAAAGAATCTATTATAAGTTGAACTTTACCTTTCTAATCTAGTGATCTAGGAGTTATAAAGGTTGAGCCTGGGAGGGAATACATTGCAAATAATGCTTCTATAAAAGAAGTTTGCAACTCTTTGAAGATTCTCAAGTTTGGAAGTACCATTACTGAAATAAATCTAATAATTAACATATGTATTTTGTTGACGAATGATTTTATTAGAAAGCGCTTAATAATTTGAATAAAATTTATACGATATTGTTCAAGTAGAAAAATTGAAAGTTGTGGATGAAATTTTGACTGTATAGTACTTCTATCTGTGCAAATGTTATCTAATATAATCTCTACACCACTTTAAACAAGTGGTTGGAAGTGGATTTTGTTCTTATTGTTGAGGACTAAATTTTGACAAAGTTTATAGGACACATGTGATGGGACTTAAGGCTTGGTTGGTTTGGGTTGGTTTGGTTTTTAATAGGACACGTGTATCTTGCTTTAAACAACTGAGGTTGTAGGGAACAAGAAAAAATAAAGGTAGATTTCCTACCAAAATATAGGAAACATGTTTTAATTGAAATCACATTTTCTATAATATGTAATGTCATTTAGTTACAAAAATAAATGTTGATGTGTATTACCTGCTTGGCTCCAAGTCAGATTCTTGAAGTCTAGACTTAACATCTTCTATAGCACAGAGAAAGTAGTTCATTGTTACTTTAAAATCATTCTTGACATGCTGCAGTAATCCATTCTCCCCTGTGTGGACCACAACATACGAATGTGCACGAGTGACTAGAGATGGAAGGGTAGAGCCACTACAGCCATCCGTCCTACAAGCTGTGCAAACAAGCACATGCACAATCTCATTTCATAAGTGATGATTTGATGTTTCCACTTACACAACAATATTGCTCAAACAACTTACCAATTTCGTGAAGATTCACATCTTTATCAAGAACAAAATTTTGTCTCATGTTCCTTGTGTAGATTCCCAAAATTTGCAGGCGCCCTTGCTCATCTGGGTACTCTACTTTGACATGTAGTTCGATTCTACCTTCCCTACAAACAAATACAATAAATAACGTACTTTTTTTTTATTGAGTTAGGAAAATGAGAATAAAATAAATAGCTATATATATATATATATTTGTTTGGTTACCCATAAAAGATAAATATGTTTAAATAATTTCATTTTTCTTTACTTGATAAACTCAAAATTTGAACATACCATTCGAGTTCAAAAAATGTGGGACATTGTTCAAAAAGAATAAAGAAATCAGCAAAGAACAACACAATGGAGAGAAGGTTACCTCAGCAGGGTTTCATCAATGAGCTCCTTTCGGTTTGTAGTACCAATAATAAAAATGTTGTTCAATACTTTCAGGCCGTCAATCTGAAAGGCATGCAAATTTTCAAGTATTGCCTAGACAGAGAGAAATAATAAAAATAAAAAATTGAAAAATGAAATCTGAGAGATATTAACCATTGCAAGTAGTTGGCTTACAAGCCTATCATCCATATGGTGTAATCCCATATCTGCCCCTCTTTCTGCAAAAAAAAACCAAGAACATATTAAAGACATGATTTGCAATATACATATGGCACCAAAGAAGACCACACTCACTCTCTCTTAATGCTTATGATTACTTTCTCACTGTTGCCTCCTCTACCCTTTGTTTATTGTTAGCATTTTTTATCCTAAAGAAATTTAAAATTTAAGTTTTGGCAATACCTCTCTTGACAAAACTTAATATGATGATTTTTTATTGAAAGTGTTTTTGTTTTTATTATTTTCTTGTTCATTATCTTCTTATACATTAACATGATTCATGATGCTTGTCAAGATATGGAGATAATGTTGTTCAATTTTCAAGTTTGAGAATGGCAACTTTGGGATGCTCATATTGGCTGTTTGTCTCAGCTTTTTGGTGTCAACACATGGGTGAAAGGATAGAGCTTCACATGTGTGGACTTTTTGTGGATTTTGGTGGATCTTCATTGATAGCAAGCATGAGGATAAGACTTTGACAAAGGGATGGACTTTACAGAGCTAAATGGTGGCTTAGGGAGGCTGTTTGTCAGTGGGATTGGATGACAAAGCGCGAAGCAAAACGTGCAAGAAATATGAAGCAAAGAGACAGAAAAAGCTGCTCAGCTGCATGCACCATCACACCCGCGATTCACACACAGCACGGTCGAGCCCGCGACCATTACTATCGCGCCCGCAACCAGGCTTTGCCCAAACGATCAGCTCCCAGGAGTTTGCTCTGCAACCTGCGAAGGGACACCATGGCCGCAAACCAAGGCTGACCATGCCCGCGAAGAACATGTCTGTGCTCGCGAAAGTGCCCTGCCTCAGGTCTATTTAAAGGACCCTTTGTTAATTTGTTAAGGCACCTCTCCAACGCCATTTTGGCATCTCTCCAGAACATTTCTTGTCTCTCCCAACACTCTCTAGAGCTCAACATTTCCAAACTTAGAGAGAGTTTATTTTGAGAGAAATATATTTTGAGAGAGATCATTTTTGTAATAGAGAAAATATTTTGAGAGAAATATATTTTGAGAGAGATCAGGCTTTATTTTGTTAACGGTCTTTCTTACCTCCTTGTATTAGGAAAAAAATGAACTTTTATATGTGGTTGTGTGCGTGATTTGAGGCTACATGACCTAGCAAGGGAGCTATCTAGGAACTATGGCGGATGCTGAGATGGCACTACATCATCAGATACTAGCTAGGTCAAAGCAAAGATGACCTTGGGAAAAGAAAGAGTGAGGAGTTGTTTTAGAGGTCTAGAAGTGAATAACCAAAAAGCAAGAGATGGAGATGGTTAGATATTCTTTATGCATGAAGATGGAGGCTATATTTATAGGGATTGGGTTACATAGCCCAACTCACCTAGTGGCCTCAATAGTTGGAATGGTGGTCAAGTGTGCTCAGATATGAACAAGTCACTTGTCTTTGTCACACTCTAGAGTTCTCTTCCTGTCGAGATCTCTCCAAGGTCGGTCAAGTGCAGATCCCCCCAACGAGAATAGTACAAGGTATCTCGACAAATCTTCATTTCCAATATACCAAGTCCAAAATTCCTACGATCTCATGTTGAGTCATGACGTCTCTTGGATGCCTCGTAACCATGGTACCAAGCCCAAAGGTGTCCCGAGGCTCTTCTATCTGACGTAGAATGGCATGAGTGTATTAGGGTGACTGGAAAACAAGTGTAAAATCTTATAAGACGTGGAAACTCGACTTGCCCAAGGGGACCCAAGTGTGATGGCTCAAGTGGATACAAGCAGACCCAAGTGGACAGTCCTCTTAATCTTGGAAGGAAGGCCAAGTGCACCAGCAAGGCTCCCTGGAGATAGCCTCCTTCAATTTTAATACGAGAGACGCTACATGTGTGGTGGGTAGAGGTTTTGGAATAAAGGGATCCCATGCTCAATACAACTGCCATGGTGAAGCTATGAAGTATATGCAGATGTGATGATTACCTAAGGTCAGTCAAGTGCTTTATGTATTTATGCGCAAAACAATTGAGTGCTTATATTTTAGGAACCACTTTCTAGAAAAATGGTTTCTTGCCTAGGTGACCATTACCTTTGGGGCCTTCGGATAATATACACTGTCTGCTATTTTCATAATTCAAAACTTTCGGCCATGAGCAACCCTTTTTCATATAGAATAGCATTTCTATGTTGATTGTTCACACTGTTTAAAAGCATAGGTTGTTTAAATTAATGAAAACATTTAAAAGTGGATGACAAGTTGAAATCACAAATCATAGGGCATAGAAATAATGTGAAAGCAATGCTAATTAATCTGGACTACACACTCAATAGTGAATGCCTGCCTTACAAAAGCATATTGATAGAGAAGCATGAAACTCAAGCCTTGTATCTTATTGTCAATGTTTCAAAAGATGAGTTACAATTACTAATCTGGAGTAAAGAGACATCACACAAGCAACAAATTGGCCACGTATGACATGGGAATGAAATGAGAGAAACAGAATATATAATCCATGGGAATACAAAAACACCAAAATGATGTCAAACCCAAACAGGGAAAAAAAAATACTTGAATTATGTCAAAAACCTTAAGTCTGATATCGGGAAATTTACACACGCACACATATATAACACGAATTGTAGGTAGCACAACTAACAGCATTTAGAAGGAGCAAATATTGCATCTGTGCTCACCTTAGCAATGGAATCAAGTTCATCAAATATGATGATGTGTAGGTCACTTCTAGCTCCTGAAAGAAAAGATTAAATGATCTCACTATAAAAGCACAATGAAGTGAATTTAGAATGAACATATGTACGCATCTTCACCAAAAAAAAATTCATCAGCAATGGCTGTTTTAAACAGTGACCTTATTTTCCTCCCCGATACACCTTGGAATGCATCTAACACATCCGGTCCATTTATATTCTGAATGAACGGCAGGAGAAAAAGAAGTGTCAAAATAAGATTAAAAAAAGTGGAGAGAGAGAGAAAGAGACCAGGGGCACTTTTGCATTTAGAAATTTGCAAATGCTTCATGCTATCAAGGTTTTTCTAGAACCTGGTGGCCCATATAGAAGCATTCCTCTTACACGCTTCAAATTCAGCCTAGCATAAGAAAGTCAATAGTTAATAACTTATAGTAACTAGATTTGGGGAGGGGGGCCATGTATCATATGTTAAATAGGCTGGCCATCAAGAAAAGGGAAGCCCACCAAGACTAGTTCAAATTCCCGCCAGCATATACAAGCAGATTTGGTCATGAAAGGACCCTACAAGCTTGAGATGTCCCCACGAAAATGAGTCTTGGGTATATTTCCAGTGTGTAACAATCTAAAGGTAAAAGAGAATCCTTTCTATGGATTCTTGCCCGTTGTGGCAAAGAGGTGGAAATAGTGGACCATGTCATTTTCCACTTTGTCCATGTACAAAGAGTGTGACCTGCATGCCCTTTAGTTCTTACATTTTTTTAGGGACTACTGTTTGTCTTGCAGCTATCCAAATATGGCAAATATCTAAATGGCCTAAGGATGTTCTTTGGAATCTGCTAGTATAGTTGGCAGCAATAGGTGGCATATTTGGAAGGCATGTAATACAAGTAGTGTTTGAGGAGCGAGCTAGAGAGTTCAAATTACATAAATCCTAAGCCGACTGTTCAACCCATTTATCCTATTAGTTTACATTTAAATAAAATTTAGACTAAAATTACCCTCCGAAAAGGGAATGAGTTTGCAATTAGGACCACGAGAAAGTTGCCCTGTCATCACTTACTGTTATCTATTCTTGGATTCTTGGGGGAATTCACAACAATTTTTTTCTAGTGTTCTTTTCTATTGATTAAGAGGTGACCTCGTTATTTATCCCAAAAAAAAAAAAAGAAAAAAAAGAAGAAGAGGTGACCTTGTTCTTTTCATTCATTTGTGGAAATTTGATAATCTATCACCTTTGCATCCTAACACTTCATTGCAGCTATTATCAAATCCTTCACCTCTATCTTTATACCCAACAACTTCAACCTATTTTACTACACTTTGTTTTACTTTTCAGTAATAAACTTGCTATAATAAATTTAGAAATATTAAAATAATTATGTTACTGGTTAGTATTCATGTTATTGAGTAATCACAAGACAATAATATATTTAAAGATTATAATGTCTTTTAATAATAAAAATACCACCACTATGTACGATAGTTGATGAAAAGATTATGCATAAGAATTAATAAGAATTATTATTTTCTTAATATCAAAATCCTATCAAAGTAAGGGATCGACCTGGGCTTTGTGGCTTGGCGCTAAAAAATTCCTTTCCATACAAAAAACTAGCAAAAGTTTCACAATAAGTTCCAGTGGGGTATATTGAAACTACTCTTTTTCTTTCGCTTATTAGCATACAAAACTATTTTCAAAGCATTTATATATATATATTAATTTTCAAAAGGTTACATCGATGTGATTTGGGATATGTATGAAGGTGTGGTGACCACTATTAGATCGCCTACTGGAGAGACGAATGAATTTTCAATTACTGTAGGGTTACACCAAGAATCAACATTAAGTTCTTATCTTTTTGCTTTAGTTATAGATAAGTTGATGCAAAATATTCAGGATGATGTGCTATGGTATATGCTTTTTGCAGATAATATCGTGTTAGTGGATGAGACTAGAGAAAGAGTTAACACTAAGTTGGAGACTTGGAGAAAGACACTTGAATTTAAAGAATTTAGGATAAGCAGAACTAAGACAGAATATATGGAGTGTAATTTTAGTAGCAATCACAATGGAAATAGAGGAGAAGTGAAGATTGAGAACCAAGAACTACCTAAAAGTGAACATTTTTGTTATTTAGGATTGATTATCACAATGACTGGGGAGATTGGAGCAGATGTGGTCCATAGAATTAAAGTAGGGTGGCTTAAGTGGAAGAGCGCGTCAGGAGTCCTGTGTGATAAACGAGTACCCACTAGACTAAAAAGGAAGTTCTATAAAACGACTATTAAACCAGTGATGTTGTATGGGACGAAATATTGAGTAAATAAGAAATAACATGTAGATAAGTTGAGTGTTGTTCTGATGAGGATGCTAAGGTGGATGTATGGAAAAACTAGAAAAGACAAAGTTAGGAGTAGTACCGATTGAAGATACGTTTAGAGAGAATAGATTGAGATGATTTTGTCATATACAACGGAGACCAATAGAGGCATTAGTGAAAAGATGTGATACAATGGCGGTAGATGGTAGTGTTAGGGGAAGGGTAGACCTAGATTGACGTGGACTAGTGTAGTAAATAGATATATGAATCTCATTAATTTGACTAATAAAATGACCTTGGATGGAGTCGAGTGCAGAAGAATGATTCATACAGCCGATCCCATTTGATAGAACTTAAGACTTGGTTTGGTTTGATTTGGTTTTCACACATCTTTATATTTCTATACATATACCGAGATTATTGACAGCTCAAAAGGTGTTAGCATTTTCCATGTCCAAAATATGTAGTAATTTGAATGAATAGCTAAATTACAAACGAAGCAACTATACTGTAAGAGCCTGTTTGATTGGGCAGATTATAACATAGGATTGGGATTATTAATCCATGCGACTCACATTGCATTGTTTGGTTACGATTTTTGTTATCTAGATGATGAACACTTCATCTAATAAAATTAACAGATTAATCCTACAACTAATAATGCAAAACAAATATATATTGCAAAACAAACGTAAATAAGAAGGAATTATTTATCTCAATAATTCAGCAGAATAAACCAATCTTACAACAAATTTGAATACCTTTTTGCTATAGAAGGAGGAACCATCCGCGAGCCTAATGCAGACTGCAGTATTTGAGCAAATTGGGATGTCATGCCTCCAATACCAAATGATATCAGTACTTCTTCCAGTGATTCCATATTGAAGCCTTCCCTAAATATGTTTTTAAATGTTTCAGCTCCACGGATTAGGGTACCCTGTGATCAACCATGCCAACAACTTTGAATAATTCTTACTGTTCACAAAAACATATATACATATAGACTCTCTATATGGGTAGGTGTGTACATCTATTACAGATCTATCTGTACTCGGAGCTTCTGAAGACATGGCCACTGACGATGAGCTGAGCACTCGGCGGCCGGGGCACACTGTTGAAACTCAGATTGGACTGTTGGAACGGACAGAGACCAACATCAAGTGGCCCACCGTCCGATGTCATGAAGAGAGGTGGTTTCGGCCATGGGGCTTGTTGAAGAGAGATATATATATATATATATATATATGAATAAAGTAGAGATGGGAAGGTAAAACTGTCATATTTACATGGCATAAATGCAAAATTCAAAAAAAATAAAATTGACATAAACTTGGACTGTTCAGTGGGTGGAATGGGGTGTGTTGTTGGACCGTGAGATCTTTTATGGGTTTTATTTTGATAATTTAAACAGTTTGTAGAGTTCTTTAATTAATTTATATTTGTAAAAAGTAATGTTGATCGGATATCGTTATCTCCTTGATAGGAACAAATTTTTATCAATAGTAAATATAATTTTAAAAATAAATTGTTAACAAAAATGTATTCTGATTAACGTGATTTTTTGCAAGTATGAAATATCCAACGAGTTCTACACATTAAATGGTTCGGATTATCAAAACACGACCTATGATGAGCCTCACAGGCCCAACAATATACTCTGGTCCACATAGTGAACTGGAGAAAAACCTTTCCCAAGAAAATATCATAACAAAACACAATTAGATATAATTAAAAAATTCATAAGTCATAACTAAAATAATATTATAATTAAAAAAATTAGTCCTAAAAAAAAGAAAATAGTACAATTAGAGATATATAAAATACATTTTTTTTAAATTATGTATATTAAAATTTTCCTAATAATAATATAAGAAATTTGTCACCCAACTCTACCTTTAAAATGGTGTATATTAGACTTTTTTTTTTAATAAAAAAATTCACTAAATACCAAAAATATAAAAATACAAAAAAAAAGAAGAGAGAATTTAGTACATTTTTTGTATTTTTATGTATTTATTAATTTTTTTAAATATTTTTTCATAAATTTTTTACTTTTTAGATACATCTAAGTAAGGTGCATCTAAAAAAATATAGTTAAAATTTTAAAAATATTAACTAAAAACAAAAAAATACGAAAACCAAAAAACTTTTAGTTTTCAAAAAATTTAATCCAAAAAACTCAAATCAAACACACTGATTAGTTTTTTTTTTTTTTTTTTTTGCACATAACATTTTTTTAATTTTTTTCACTTTGAAAATTGATATTTTAAAGTTTTGAAAATCAAAATAAATGTCAAAATATCGTGTTCCTTTATAAATAATTATAAATGATTAACAATCATTATTTGAAAGACAATTCTAACTATTAAAAATTTAATGGGACTTGAATGTCTGAAAAAATCTTAGCTAGGACTTAATGGAGTATAAGTTCACAAATTAGAACTTGTGTATAAATGCCCCTTATTATTATTATTATTATTAGGGCAAATTACACCCCTTGATGTTTAGCTAAATTACAAATTTTCCCTTGAGATTTCAAAAATTGCATACTGCTTCATTGCAATTAACGCCATTGACAGAGATAGTAAATTAACTAAAATGCCCCTAACTATGTTATGTAGAGAAATGAAGATATTTGGTTGATACATCATATCAAGTCAGTCAATAGTTGCTCAGTATTTGTTTTAGAATTTTTTTTTAAAAAATAAAAAATTAATTTGGGTTAAGAAATAAAAAATAAAAAATAATTATCATTTTATATAATTTTATTTTTGAGAGGTTAGAAATAATTTTTACAAATTAAATATATTTTTTCATATTTGTTTTTATTAAAGTAGTTTCTATTTTTTCAAAAAAAAAATTCTAAATTTTTTTCTAAAGAACAAATCAAATATGGTTCCAAAAACTTAGATAACGTTTGGTTTAGAACTAAAATCATGATTTGAATAAAAAAAGAAATTCAAAACTCATACCTAAACTTTTTTTAAAATTCTTTACAAAACTCTGTTTTCAAAAAAAAAATTTATTCATTATTTATTTCAAGAAAATAATTATTTTTTTTTTGAAGAAATTATTGGCCAAATAATTTGTTATGATTTAGATATATATGGGCGATTCAAAAAAAATTAATTTAGATTGTTCAGTGCTTTGAAAAGGTAGCAGGGGCAATATCATCGATCAAGATCTATTTTCGTGATGTCAGCGTATTTCTGTTAACAATTCCTAATATTTACTTCAAGGTAGGGGATAAATTGTTATGCGAATATAAACCTTAGGAGGCGAGATGTAATTTATGAAACCTAAGGGGGGAATGTGTAATTTAACTAAACTTCAAGAGGGTGTAGATAATTTGTCCTAAGATTTAATGAGTAATAAGTCACAAAAATATGACCAATGGATAATTTATCCCAATTTGAATTGTATATAAGACCATCTCTTATCATTTATCAATTCGTCCATCAAATTTTATTATGAATTTGAGTAAAAAAACATAGGTAGTATTTGGTTTAATTTTTAAATTAACTTTTAGATTGAAAAATTAAAAAATATATTTGGCTTAGGGGTGAGCAGCGGATATATTGATCTGCCCAAACCGACTGAACTGAACCGATCCGATCCGCTATATTTTGGACGAATACGTGATGACGAGCGGACGGTTGCAAATTGATTTTTTTCAATCCGCCTAGTTTTGGACGGAGGGCAGATTTGAGGTTCCTTTGGCCGCAACCGAACCGCCAAACTGCGAGCACCCCTAGTAATTTATAAGACTTTGTGTTTTCAATTTGTTTAAATATTTTATTTGTGTTTTCAATTGAAAAAGAGTTTAAATATTCTGTTGAAAA